CATTCCTTCGGATGGAATGTCCCTCGCAACGCTGAGCGCCAACGTTTCAATGTAAACAACCTTTCCCACGGTCTCGCAACACGGCGCCGCATTCTTAGCATTCTTAACATCTATGCATAATACATGTTCAATATTACCTATGTTCAATATTACCTACTTTATTCACGCCGATAGTTCCGTCAAAGAAAATATTCAGTAACTTTTGTTTCCCGGACATACATAAATACATCTGCCACATATAGTGCATATGGTCCTATTCATATCCTTCTGTGTGGAAATATTCTTCCACACAAAGATTCTGTGCCTAACAATTCTTTGTTGCGCCGATAGTTCCGTCAAAGAAAAAATTAAGTAAGGTTTTTTTGTTTCCCGAACATACATAAATACATAAATACACCTGCCATATATGGTGCACGGAGCCTTTCTATGGGATAAGTTTTTTGCCTGGAGGTTTTGTCACGTTCTCCTCGGCTGAAATTATAAGGCGCCATACGCAGGAGGACGCAACTTCGATCACTGATGGAACGCCCATTGCGGGGGTGGGATCGTTACGCGGCCGTTGTTATCGCTCATTGTCGTATTTTACTGCGCAATATGGTTGCCAGCTCGCTGCAATTGGTCCCATAACGCTATTTCATTAGGAAAATTTTTATCCAAAATATTTTTGCTGTGACCGATCTCAGGATCAAAAAAGCTGCCTCTCTCCTTTAGATACTTAGATGATGCTTTCGCTTTTTAGCGAAGTTCTATACGTTTTTCCTAGTTATAATACATAATATTAAAATGCATAATACTAATTAAATGAAATCTGTGATTCATTTAAGATTAAATAATTCCCTACAAGATTTAAAATTTAACGATGAAAACTTTGTGCATGTGTTTTTTGGTAATCGAAAAAATTTTGTAAGCGTCGTTCTCCGAACTCGTGTCCGTGTAATCTGTGTCTCTTCTCATGTATTGCCACCGCTGCTTCATCAAATCGGAATTAAAAGAACAGCGAAATGAACCGATGCTGTGATCGATGCATCCCCCATGCAGGCAGACAACTGATGCAATAAATCTTTTTCTGCAATTACGTTTTCGGTCAATCCCGTTGCTAAATTGCTTTGCCAAATTCGCTGCACTGATCAATCACCAACACGGATCCTGACTTTATGCATCAAATAACCGAGAATATTGTTTGTTGTACTTCAGTTAACTTCCAAACGTGGTTTTTAAAAAGTTTTTTTTTTCATTAGCGAATGATGGCCCTTCAGAAGTATTCCCGGTTCATATCTCATATGACTCGATTTCAATAGAATGAGTTTTTGATGGTGCTTGAGCTATTTTTCACTTCGGTTGCAAATTGGAATAGCTGTTATCAATAAAGCAATCTTGCATTTTAATGGTGTGGTTAATCCAATTCGAGGTTCCTCTTTTGAATTAATAGGCTTTATTCTCCTCCATTGCCTACAGTCAGTTTTGTTTGAGTTTTGTCTTGACGATTCAACACCACTCCCAGAAATAGCGAGGCATATAAATTCAATTCAGCTCATCTGCGTTTCTCTTTTTGGCTAAAAAAATCGAAGTTCACTGCATCCACAACGTTGAGTATAACTTCAACACCACTTGCATGGTCACAAATATAATCATTGGAAAACATGATTCGCCTTCAACAATGTCACTCACATTCAGGTTAATTCAAAAGTTCTCAACCGCTGTTCAGAAGCCTATGTGATTGTTCAAGGTGCCTGAAACCATGCAATGCTTACCGAGTGCAATACAGAGCCTATTAGGCGTAGGATTGCTTTCGAATGGCCAGCATTAGCGGCTCACTTGCACTGCACAGACTTTAGATTATATATCGATCGGTGCAATTTTGACTGAGTATTTCATTTAGCGAATCTGTTTCAAGGCACATATGCATTTGTTTTATGTGCTACTCTGAGCAAGTTTGTGCCAGAGATTATTGTTCTAACATTCAAGTACAAATTGGGTTTCTTTAACGCATCGCTATTGGATTTCATACCAACACACAATAATGGCATCCGCTCATATTCACATTGAAAAGTCAGTCGGATCAGGGGAATTAAATCTTTTGTTTGTTTGGGCTTAGCGGAAATAGATAAATTGACTTCCTTTTTCACCATAAATATTCTCTGTTCTCTAGTTTGAGGATTCTATCCACAACGCCGTATTCGCAAAGATTATATTTGGATATATTTATATTTGGTTATTGTAGCGTTTTTAGCGCATTGTCTCATTTATGGATAAAATGCACTATTGTGCTCGCCATGTCCGTCTGTCCGTCCGTCTGTCTGTCCGTCCGTGACTTCACGTTTTCGTCGATGAGAAAATGCGCTCTCTGTCACTCACTGAAGTGAGTACTGAGTTATATTTTTTATCATTTTTTGGGTTGCGTTTGTAGAGCGTATTTTCCTACGACCATCCCTGTGGTAGATAATAGTTCTGAATAATTTTAATTCTTAAATGTAGGTAATTTTGTGCGCATAATTGATTGATGTGGGTATTGATCAAAGCGAGATGGCAATAGATTATTATGGCAACGGTTGTCCCAGCGCGGTATCATGTATACCGCCCTCGACCGCGCGTTCTTTCCCTCAAATAAAGACATCCGTTGCGTGGAGTTGTTACTTAACAAGGACCAGAATATTCTTAGCTGCCTAATGTACTGCAAGAGGAACAAAAATAAATCTTCTGGCGTGGGTGGAAATATGAACCAAATTTTGGGGATTTTTTGTGGCTCATTGTATGCAGGGCGAGTGCTGCTTTCACCGCCGTCGCTTGAGGTCCACAAACTCTACGGAAGATAAGTTGCAGCTTCTGCGGCCGCAGCGTCATTTCTCTCATGTTGTGAAAGTGTCATCGAAAGTGTTATCCCTTCAATTCTAGCAATATTTAGGCTACTTTAGTAACATTTAGGAGTAACATTTAAGCCACTTTCTCCTTAACGATGAACATTCGATCGGGACATTTTTAAGTAGGAGCAGCCCTAATAGTAAAAAAATTTGTAATGACTTGGCATCAATGATTCGTTTTGACATTTCTGACATATATTCTGTCGAAATCTCTATAGACAAATCTAAGCCCATGAATATTCAGTTGCTTTTGTGAGTTTTGATGTATCAAGAAGAATTTGAAAAAATCTTCAAACAATATATCCCTTTGCTGCACCGACACTCTTGTAGAGTACCTCAGGCGCTGCACTAGCTCATATCTTATAATAATTGTTTAAGTGTTAGCAATGAGGTGATCTCGTGTAATGTGTATTATATCAATTTGTTGTGATATGATCATATATTATGATGTGTTTGTGATAGTCACTTCTACAACCTCTGATGGATGCTCGTTCTCTGCAGCAACTCGCATCAGTATCGACAATAACAATTTTAGTTAATTAAAACCTCTTGTTCTTTTTGGTTCATCTGATGAGCCACGACATAACGTGTTTTTATTACATTTCATGCCTATTTACCTCGTTTAGTTTTTCTATTACCAAATAATTCATTAGTTGCTTAGCCAATAGCTGTGGCAGAAATACTTGGATTGGGATCAAATTTCAAGAGTTTTTTTTATCTTGTACATTGATTGCATGAATTTTCTGATAAGCGAGTGGTTGTTTCTGTATAACTTGTTGTTGCAGTGACCCACCTGGTGGGGCGTGACCCACTTCACGTATGTTACATGTTATGCGTGCTGTTGCAGTGACCCACCTGGTGGGGCGTGACCCACTTCACGTATGTTACATGTTATGCGTGCTGTTGCAGTGACCCACCTGGTGGGGCGTGACCCACTTCACGTATGTTACATGTTATGCGTGCTGTTGCAGTGACCCACCTGGTGGGGCGTGACCCACTTCACGTATGTTACATGTTATGCGTGCTGTTGCAGTGACCCACCTGGTGGGGCGTGACCCACTTCACGTATGTTACATGTTATGCGTGCTGTTGCAGTGACCCACCTGGTGGGGCGTGACCCACTTCACGTATGTTACATGTTATGCGTGCTGTTGCAGTGACCCACCTGGTGGGGCGTGACCCACTTCACGTATGTTACATGTTNAGCCTTCATCACGGTCAGTAGCCTTCATCACGGTCAGTAGCCTTCATCACGGTCAGTAGCCTTCATCACGGTCAGTAGCCTTCATCACGGTTTTTTTTAGTCTTAAACCTTAAACATTTATTCTCACTTAAATTCTCTCATCATTTTTATATGCGGATATCAATTATAGGAATTTCTGTTACTATACTGAATTTTTGTCTTTATTGATATACAGTGATACTTCGACTTATGAACGCCTATACATGTGAACTTTTCCAGATACGAACAGAAGGTTTTAGATTTTTTGAAAGAATATTTCTCAGCTTACGAACTAATATTCAGATCCGATTAGGCGCTTACGAATCGATTCGGAGCCATATTTGATTCAAATTATGTTAATAAATATTAAAAATGAATTTTGTTTCCACATGCGAATATTTCCTCATACGAATCCTATAAGTAGCAATGTAATGAAACGTTCTCGTTTCCTCTCATTTATTTTAATAAATGTGGTAACCTAAAAATAATTTATCTGCATAAAAATTGATTCTTCAAATTTTTAGATAGAAGTTCCTGCCTCCTCAGAATCGACTCATTGACACAATCTCAATTTAGTCTCAATTTCAAGTTCATCAAAACACGTGTTCGTAAAAAAATAAGATAACGTATACATATGAGCAGAATCAGAAGTGCGGTATTCGCTGCTGGACTGGAAGCAGCGCTTCTGTTATCTCAATTTAGTCTCATTTTTAAGTTCACCATAACATGTGTTCGTAAATAAGACATCATATTCCTACGAGCAGAATCAGAAGTGCGGTATTCGCTGCTTGACCGGAAGCAGCGCTACTGGTTCACNCGCTGCTGGACTGGAAGCAGCGCTACTAGTTCACCATAACATGTGTTCGTAAATAAGCTATCTTATTCCTACGAGCAGAATCAGAAGTGCGGTATTCGCTACTGGACTGGAAGCAGCGCTACTGGTTCACGGTGCAGCCGCACACCGGCGTCGTGGCGCTAGTGTCGCCTCTCGACAGAGAAACTACAGCACACGTGAGTTGGAGACCAAATAATACATGTGCTATGTATACTGAAATTTAAGCACTACCGAATTCATTGAATTCATCAGTGTAATAATGTTATTTTTCAGTATTGCAGTTGCTATTTTTGAACAGTTCACTGTGTTCTGTCTGTCTAATAAACTTATTGCAGTAAATAATGAGTTCTCAGTTCTCGTTTTAACGTAATTTGTTCATAAATAGCATAGCTTCTAAGACGTCTTCAGTCGCCCCACCTGCCTTTGTCGGTTTAGATGTTTTACATCTCATTTCTTCGTTTCCAACCAGTTAGTCGCGCTTAACGCGCTATTTAATAAGCACTAATTCATAATAATTGATCAACTCGGGTCTATGTATAGCCAATCCATACGTTGAATGAAATTCATGTCTGGATGAACGAACGGTGGTTTTTAATGTCGATCCGCTGCTCGAAATCCGTATCGTAGCTTGCCACTTGTCAGTTAACATGCATTATTATGATGGCAAGTTTATCGTTGACTATACTAGTGCCGTGGTATTGACGTGCGGTGTGAGGGCAACTTGCATGGGTATTATGAAATCAACGAAGGAATGCTCTGGTCAGTAACCAATTCATAATGGTGGTACTTCCTTATAAAGTTTTGAAAAGTGCGAAGGAAAGGAAAATGAAATTTGTACACTGCAGGGGACCTACAAATATATTAGTATGTATTGAATTATAGGCCATTTTTGGCCTATTTTGTTTGCGGACTTGGCCGTTTTTCAGGGCATCTGGCAACCCTTGGTTGTGCAACAGCAAATCTTTCGGCTGTCCGCTGTCCGCCATATCGCGCCTCTGCTGCATCGAACTAGCTTTAAAAATGCAATAGAAGTTATTATTAGCACAAAGTTCATGATTTGTGCCTTACGGGTTATTTTCGACGGAAAAACCGTGTTGAGATATGGAAAAATTATAGATCTATAATTCTTTTTCAAATTTGAGAAAGACTACAGTAATTTTTCCTTTGGTAATGCTTGATGGTTACTTAAATCGAGATTATATTTTTTGATGTGAAAATTCTTGGATTATCGTACGCAGTATCTCTTTTATTATCATTTAATTCGCAAAATTAATCCTTTTGATAGCAATCAACATTATTAACTTTAGTGGATTACCTCCTGATTTCAAGCTAATCCTTCCAACGTAAACGTCAATCTTGTTAACGAATCGAATTATAATTTGATTTACATTCCAGATGTGTGATACGTGAAAAATAATCATTAAGGTATTTTTAAACCATCACCGTAAACCCCAATGGCTTTTTGGACCTCGGTTTTGAGTCGTGATTAATTATGCATCGCGCATTCTACGTCCATAAATACCATTAATATGAAGCCAACGTCATCCAGAGCTAATCAAACTAGTCCTTTATTGGATGCGCTTATATATAGTGATGCCATAAAAAATGTAAGACAGCCTGCATTACAGATCGCGCTGTTCCGATGCCATGTTTTGTAGCACTGGCATTAGTGTTTTTTTTATTTTGATCGCAAATCTGCACAAATATTCTCAACCTAATGGAAACAGCTCGGTTATCCAGCCAACGAGGCTTCTAATTAACGGAATTCGAAAGTAAAGCTGCTATTGGGTGAATAAGCGTGAACAGAGGAATGGGAAGTTCTTCCAGTGCTGTATGCGCCAGAAACTGCAGGACTCGGTACACTTGATCCTTTGTATCCTTTAAAAGCAACTCGTGTTACCAAACATTTCGGTGGCGATAGCATAGCCGATATTTAATGTATCGATGGATAAAGTATCAATTCCTTCCATACACAATCTCGAACTGTTATGCAGTGATAGGTGAAAAACATATCGGCTGTTCCGTATTACCATACGAGATCATTAAATCCGCCATGATCAATAAACAATAATGATATTACAATTTTTATTTATTCTTTCGACACTCTTAACGTCACTGTCATTGAGAGCTATTCTTGATCGGATCCTTGCTACAATATTCATTAAATATTTCAAGCTGAACTCGTAACCAAAATGTGGTTTTGATGCAATATTTATCAGGCTTCGAAACTTCGGCCTTCGAGTCTCCGAGCTTTTTCCTGTACGTGATCCGTTGGAGACGTCCAGTCTAGATTAGCCTCAACTCCACGACCCATTGTCGGTGCAATTAATCTGGAGCCAATTGCCCTCACGACGAGTTTTTCTGCCATGTAAATGCGGAAACACTCGTTGATAATGGCACCGTCAGTCAGCACTTTCTTGCTCGTCTACTTCTTGAGTTTTTTTTGGCCCTAACTTCCTAAGTGATCGTTTTTTTTTCGGAATGGAGGAAACCAAAATTTTTAAAGCCGCGAGCAAACCGCCCATTTGCTGGTACAAATGGACCCATTTCGCCCAAACTTTGAGAATTCTTGTTGAAAAAAGTATTTGGTTCCGGAAACTGAAGAGTAGATTGTTCCTTCCTCTGAAAGAACTATTACAGCGCAAACTTCTGTGAAAGGTAACATGATTGATGCAGGCGATTAAAGCCCGTAACTGTACTCCAATCCAACATCCTTCCATATCTCCAAAATTAATTATTTCCCTACAATCATACGTTCTAATTACCTTCTTCTTCTATCTTCCGCCTTCATTAATTTAATTTTAGATGTATTCGAGACACTAGCTTCTCAATCAAGTCGAGACAGGATCGAGACAGGATCTTCTCAATCTATCCTTCTCAAATTACTGAAAGTGACAGCGATCTTACTCGTCCTGACAGCTCCTATGAGATGCAGATCCCCTCTCAAAGTATTGCAGGATCTTAATCTAGTCCTTCACAAATCGCTCAAGGCGCCAGAGATCTTACCCATCCTCACAGGTCCTCTGAGACGCAGATCGCCTCTCATGAATGTAATCATGTCTGCGTTGTGTCATCGTATGGCGCTAATCATGTCTGCGCCGTGTCATCGTATAGCGCTAATCATGCCTGCGCCGTGTCATCGTATGGCGCTAATCATGCCTGCGCCGTGTCATCGTATGGCGCTAATCATGTCTGCGCCGTGTCATCGTATGGCGCTAATCATGCCTGCGCCGTGTCATCGTATGGCGCTAATCACTCCTGCCTGCGCGGCGCCATATGACGCGAGTCTTGCTGCGTCGTACGATTTAATCGCAGGATAAATCCTGCTGGGTATTGCCCTGCTACTGAACGCTGACAGCCCGCGCTTAATATCCCTTGCTAATGTCTAGATTATAATCTTACCTAATTATGTCCATTGATATCTGTTGATTATGCATGTCGATTCATTCTATTGTCGATCTATTGTGCCTATCTCGATTTATAGACGCTTCGTCGTGTTGATTTGACTTAATTACTGAAATTATTGTTCATAATTTTAGTCTTGCAATTATTTCATCTCTACTTAGGAAGTTTATTTTTGCCACAAACTATGCATTACTGTAACATTCATCTCTTTTCACTGATTCATGATGATTCAACATCATTCCCGCACACCAATACTTGAATGTGACCGCATTACTGTCACCAATAACGCATCTTCTTATTATTGACGTCACAGCTGACGGTGCCGCTGGAGGCGCGTACGTCTCAGGGCAGCGCAGAAGCGACGTTGTACGTCACCGTCGAAGACGTCAACGAGTTTCCGCCGCGTTTTGCCAACGACGTTTATCAGACGCAGATTACTGAGGAAGACGACAGACACCTGCCCAAGCCGGTCATACAGGTGCGTCGTGCTGATATATGCACATTATTTATATATGATATTAGTGTTGAGACACTTGCTGTTCTCGTAGGTTATATGCATCAGGTTTTGTGTTCAAATTCCATCATTCCGATAACTTATATTCTCATAAGGCCCAAAGAACAGGTGGACAAAAGTACGAAGAGCGTCTATTATGCAACTAATAAATACAATTGAAATAAAATTGCATAGGCGCGAAATTGTATTACCAAAAAAAAAAAAAAAGGAGGACGTTTCACCTATGTCAGTGTTGGATTTAAAAAAATTGCAACCATAGTGATATCGCATGTTTAGAATGATCAGAAAGCGTGAAGTATGAAGCATTTTTGCTTACTAAACAATAAACATTTGAATTAATATACCATTTCTTTATGAACACGCCTTTTCACTTAGCTCTGGACTGTTCAACATAGCAGTATGTTTCCAAATATTCTGGCACAAAAATTCGCAAAATAACATTGTGCTCTAATTATTTATACTTAAGCGTTTTTGTGTCATCACCTTTGAATTTTTCCCTATGTTTGGCGGTCATTGTTTTATCAATGATAAAATTAACGCGGAATCCATGAACGCGCTTGGAATCCGTCTTCATTGCATCCGGAATCCGACTTCATTGCACCTGGGATTCCCCTTCATATTTTTTTGGCTGCACTCGAAACGCTGCCGTGTTGGGCTCTTTTCTTTAGCTTAATGCTTCGGTCAATCTATTATCTTGATTAGTTTGCCGATTGCTATTTATTGGTCGATTTTAATCTGTTGTTTTATCTTTACTCACATTTTTTGCACTCGGCCCGAGACCTTTGCAGAAAAAATCCGCTTCTTTTTTTTGAGTTGCTCATGGACGAGCTCCACCAATCTCTATTGCATGTATTTAACTTGCTGTTAGAGTTTGAGTTCAATTCATTAACCAAATTTCTTAAACGGCTTACATTTATTTTTTCATTGCTAATCTTAGTGACATTCATTTGTGCTCTCGAATATATGATGCACACACATTTTCCACTCACAAGATGACTTCATTCAACAAAATCCCATTGCATAAAAGCCTGGAATGTCAGAGCATTCATCGCAATTTTTGCTTGATACTGCCATCTAAGACATGGGCGTACTATTGGATCATTGTTCATGGATGGAAGCTGTAAGGACTCATGGTTTCAGAAAGCTCGCGGGAACATAATACGAGGCAATTAATTTTATATGCAGTGTAAACACCCGCGCAGTTGACAGTGTCGCGTCGTTCCTCGCTTGTCTCTCGGTTGGAGAAGGAAGTTAAAAAATAATATGTTTACCTCGTTGTTCGAAAGTTAACTTTGGGGAATTGTTTCAAAAGTTAAATTATCTACGAATTAGGTTAATAGCTAATGGTAAATTTGATCCTGGGATAATCATTGAACTCTTTTGTTTTTCGTTCCTAAAATAAATTACATTTATTTTCTAATTCTTCTGTTTCTGAATAATTTCCTCTATTGGCTCTTTTCACTGTCAAAATTATTTTTATCAGTGGTGATTAATTTGTTTTAATCCACCTTCTGTGTAGGAATAATTTAATTAGTCGACGTACTCCAAAGCCATGCATCTCAATCTTCAACGCCAACTAATCAAAGTCCATCATCAAAGCATTTCTTCCAATATTTTAGCATTGAAATTCGATCCATGTAGGAGGTCTTGGATTAGCTTGTAAGAGATGTGTTTGTAGCAAAGATGTGTATCGTTCTGCCGATAATGAGCCTGTAGCTGAAAACTTCAGTCCAGTTCCCTGATTTCATTTCCCTCACATAAATCCCAAATCCAGTTCGATCTACTACTTTTTCGTACTTTGCGGACTCCAAATATTTTTTATTAAGAGATAACGCCGATTTGTAGGTGATCTGTTCACATTTGTATACTGGATTGACACGGAATTTCGGCATTTAAAAGATTATTAATATGATTTTGTGTTTGTTAAGAAAATATCTATCCGATATCCCTAATTTAGTACGTATTTCATGCATATATTTTAGCGTGGCAGAGGGAGAGGGCGTTAAAAATGATGCGAAACCCATATGATGTGGACCAAAGTGTTGGCGATTGTAGCGCATTGTCAGTTTCGTGCTTGATGTTTTTTCACGATGGAATACATGAATGTTTCACTGATGGTCGCCGAAATATTATGATAGCTTTAAAGAAATATTTCTGAGGACTCGAAGCTAATTATGTGACAAGTTCATTATATTATATAACACCAAGCGCGAGCATACAATGCGTTGTGCATTTGGTAGTAATTTCTGTAGCTGTCGGCGATGAGCCTGAAAAACCGTCCGTAAGTTTGCGAACGTTTCTGAGCGTAAAATACCCAACTTACGCATGAATATCAATAAAATAGCAGAACTAAAACCAATTCTTGTTGTTTGGGCTCTGCAAAATCAGGTGGTAATTAGAGTATATAGATAAAATATTACGGATTCATGCGAAATGACATTCAATTGGGGAACGAATGTCATGAGTGACTATTTGGTTGTTATTTTTCAAGATTGATTTTAACATTATTTTGACCGTCGAGCAGTTCCCTTAAACGTGTTAATTCAGAATATTGCAACGAAAAACATTCTATTAAACTGAGAAGCCAAATTAATATTTCCTGCACCGAAAACAGAAACGGTTTCACTTCTCATTATTTAGAATCCACCTACTATATGATCTAGTTTGATTTGATGCAGTTGAAAGATAACCTAAGACAATGACACCTCTACACACTAAATTCGTTCCGGGATAGGACAGGGTTCGTATAAGGAAAAGTTCATATGTGGAAAGAATATTTCATAAAAGAATTAATGTATGAGCAGAAAATGCATGCTGCCAAATCCATTTTCGAACTATCACACCATAAATTTAGTAACTTAGAACACACACAAAACCATAACTATTAGTAAGAGTTAAAAAGAATCAATAAATAAAAACTATAAGGATAGAAATTGAAGCTGAATTTCAATTTTCGACTCAATAATCTTCGTACTAACACAATTAAATAAAGTATATATAGCACCGAAAAGAAATATGACCACGGACGTAAAATACCGGAGATGTTGCAGCGATCACATGCTCTGAGGAAGTGGCCGAATCATATGAGTAGATAACGGATGCTGTGAACAATATAGAAACTGGACTATATTAGGCCAAAATGAAAATGGGTTAGTAAGCTGAGACATGTTCGTACGCGGAGGCAAAAAAATCTCGTACCTCCTGTTCGTATCTGTAAAAGTTCGCAAATATAGGCGTTCTTAAGTCGAGGTATCACTGTTTTTAACGTAGTAAACTGTAACATTCTCGTAGGAGTATCGAAATCGCTTTTCACTGCAGGAGGCTGAAACGATCTTGTAGGAGTATTAAACTTGTCTTGTAGTTTAGTAGTTTGTAAGTAACATTATCGTAGAAATTTTATAACGTTATAGACTTGTCATTTGAGCTCTGATATGAGCCTGCAGTAAAAGCTGTGCTCGCTGCGGCATGCATGTTCTTCATATGCGTTCCTTGCAAGCCTAAACTCTGTAAGTAACATCAGCGGTTTATCTGTGGCCATGCATGGCCGGTGATACGCCGGTGATGATTCAACTGTTATTTACAATTGGTGGCAATGATAGAATTCCCGATATTCCTTATTCGATTCCAATGCTCGTATTTGGGCTTTTATGGTAGTTCCAATGCTACTTGGATTCCCGATCTGAGTTCTGATAAAGAGCGCGCCTTCCTGACGCCAGGTTTCGTTGCCTCGCATTCATAACAAATATGCCTACTGAAATTTGGTAGGCTTGGGCCTATCAAGATATTTGGGTAGAATTTGTACTGAATCAAGTACTTTATTGTAGATCTAGTAGGCACTGAATTGTTAGGAATTTATATGGTTGCTTTGCCGAAACATAAGCACTTTTCGTTCGATATTATTTAAAAAGATGCTGATATTTATACCAGCAATTTTTTTTCAGGTGGTCGCGCGGGATCATGATGGGGGCAACTGGGGAGTGCTGCGCTACTCTCTCAGTGGGGACGGGGTCCCAAATCCTGAGGAACTTCACCCCCAGAATTCAATTCCTAATCCTACCGAAGATAATCATAACAACAAAGCTACGAGACGTCAACATTTTCCCCCAATCAAGATCATCTTCTCTGAGCAAACCCAACAAGCCACACTTGACTCCCATAGCAAAGTCGTCGTCACGACTTCTCCCGGTCTCTTCGTCGCTCGTCAGTGACATTGTCCTCGGTCTCGCGGGTCCGGCGCTTCGGTCTCCAGGGGCGCCGCCCCCCGCCATCGCCCCGCCCTCGGTCTCCAAGAGCAAACACTGGACGCGTCGCCGGGCTGCCTTCTCCGTTGATCCCGAGTCCGGCACCATCTACGTGCTTAAGGTGAGCAGAACGGCAAACTGGTAAACCCTTCCGTCGCTGTTCAATACTTTTCTTCAGTATGGATTTTGACTTACTTGAGTGACAGTTTTCATAATGTCCACAAGTCCAATTAAAATTTATCCAGTTCATGTTTAAACAAACAGTTGGTGTTAAAACGAACCTTATTTAATTTTGTCGAGGATTTGAATTCTCTTGCTGCACCACATTCGTTTGGTTGTCGATATTATTCATATTATTCTATGGTCCCACCTGAAAGGCCTATCCCCCCACCTTGTAATGGACGGTGTCAACGTATGTTGCGCCGCCAACGTTATTAGAGAAGCAATTGATTGCTTTTTTGGACGTCCTATGGACGCCTGAATTGCGCGCGGTTGCCATATTAATTTGTGGCTCCACGAAATGTGAAGTGACGCGGAATTGGCAACCAATAGTAGTGGCTTTATCGCTGTTCCGTTAATATGCAGTTAGTCAGCTATAATAAGGGACTATTCAAATCAATTGTTTCATATTAGTTAAAAAATAATTGTTAGGGTGTCTAATTACGCGCGCTATCAATTCCACTCGAAATTTTGTTGCAGGGAAAACTTTGAGAAACGCTGAATGAGTTTCACTCATCCTTACAGCTGTTGTAATATTCATTTGAAATTTAAAATGTATAGATATTGTTTCTAATACAGAAGAGCCGACGAAATTTTTCCCCAAAATAATTTTTTATGAGTATCCTACGATATTATTTTGATTTTAGGCTTCAAATTTCTTCTTGATCACTAACCGAAATATAGTAATCTTTAGGAAATAATTTCTTGTTCCTCCGAAGTTTTCGTGTTGATACCGTCAGTTTGGATAGAAATTTAGAATAGCTCAATCCAGGAAGTCTTTATGCATCGTCTTTTTATCAAAATTTCCCCCTACACCGAAAAACTGGCTCACATCACAGATTTTCACCAGGCATCAAAACAGTGGAGAAAACCTCGGGAGCTTCCAAGACTGTTACATTTTTGTCTTTTAACGCCTTCTCTAAATTTTACTAGTCACCATTTTATTTCAGCATTTCACGGGAAAGGAAACTTTTCCATCTCATCTCAATCCTTTATGGCGTCCGAAGAGGAAGTTCTTTGCTTTAGGAATCCCTTTAATGTTAGCCTGGAGAATCCAGAGCTCAATTCTGGTCTGCCTTCCAATGGGAACGGTCGTGTTTACACCAAGGCACTGAATGCGCGATCGCTTATGGCAGCTGTAACAATGTTTGTGAAATTTCAATTTCATGCCGCCTTTTGTGACCGGAAATCAATTGATAAAAAATGTATACGGGGATTAAATTATCTAAAAATTCCATGCACTCAAGAATTCACAATATAATTAAAGATTAGATTGACTGATGATCTTGAGGTTAGGTTCGGGGTAGTATTCACGTGGAATTTTTACTTCGCTGGAATAATGAATAATGGGAATTTTGCTTAAATGAATTTTTACGTAAATGTTGCGTAGGTAGTTCGCTGGATTACCATTCATTCGCCTTTTTTTCATCTTGTTACATATGATATTTTTCCGCTATGAATCTCATACTTCTACATCATTTTCCTCGGTTTGAAATGGTTCTCATGCACCTTACTTCATTTATATTCGAAACAATTCACTTGCTTCTTTTTCAGTTGTAGCGGTTCTCTTGCGGCTATTTAATTTAAAATTATAGAATATTTCTCGCATATAATTGTTTTTACCTTCTTCTCTTTGGCTTCTCATTAAATACGCAGTCATTTTCTCACATTATACATTGATTCGAAAAAATTCCCAACATCTATTTGATCAAATGCTCCACTAGTAAGTATTCAGGCTTGATTTTTCGCCGTCCTGTTTAGCTCCTCCCAACTTTAGTTAGAAGTTTTAAGTAAAGCGAACCGCTTTTTTCATTGAAAATTGTCGTATATACGCCTGACTGTATTTATTAATTTTTTGAGTTCCTTGAATATTTTATTTCGTTACGCAGCGCAGGAAAAGAGTCTTTAAAAATGGAAGGCTGGGCTGAGTCAAAATTACTCATAAGCTCTTCATCAGCACGCGACCAAACTTCCGTGTTATTATTACGTATTATTTGGAGGTTTGGGCCATTATTCAGATGTAGTCATTAATGTGTAATCCGTTGTATCATCGAGAAGTCCTGAGTATCCTAGCAGAACCACTTTTTAATCACTGTTCACCATTCATCTTCATTCCATCGTCGGAATTCGCGACCTGCATCGCTACCTGCATCATTATTAAATCCCCTATATTATATCATCTTTATATCCCCTATATATCCCCTATAAGGGATATATATCCCCTATATTAAAAAATCCTCCCCTAATATGGGTGTTCCCACCCATGATTGTTGAATGAAATTGGATAATTGGTCGTGAGTTTTAAAATTCTCACGGATGGCGAGTTGACCATCAGCAATATGATGATATTGTTCTAATTATGAACTTGTTTATATATGACCTCAGGAATCTTTATAATACAATAATAATTTTATAAGAATCTGCTTATGATATTTAATTTCTACACAGGAACGTGGGAACGTATTCACTCCTTGCCGATTTTTAAATTAACTATACATGTATTTTGCCCACTCAAAAATGTCTTCTTGAGGAGCTCGTCCTTTCATTGGCACTCGAGGTGGTGTTAATTAGGTGCTCTTTATACCTGGCGACCTTTGCTTCAAAGGAGCTGAGCGTCCTGCCAAGTTTGCTCAAGTGCTTTACGATCATCCAGGAGTTCTCCTTCAGCTCCCACCTTCCTCTCCCTTGGCTTGTGCTGAAAGATATTCAGCTTACCTGGTGGGATCGTCTCTTTATTTTGGCAGAACAAATTGCACGAGCTTCATGCTTGCTGTAGTCATGGCCATTATAAAGTCATCGGTTGTGCATGAATAATTTTTCTGTCATTTTCTGCTCTCAGGATATCATCTGAGCATTTTGAGTACGCTTGATGAAGCTTCATTAATTCATGCAGGAATTTTTACTGGCGTATCGCTCTTATATATGAAGACATTTGATGTTGTTCCGAAGAGGCCACAGTGGTGCCTATGTATTACCGACAAAATGTCCAGAAATGAAATTGCTAATCGATGCCGAGTCGATGCTAATCGATGAATAATTATTGCAGCGGTATTTCCAGGACTATTTCTACCCAATATTTAACGGTGCAGAACATTTCAAGGCACCGTTTGCCACTATGGATTTAAATGTTTATTTTGTTGCACCCTGATGGTCAAGATTAAGACTTACATATGGGCAGTGGTGGGCACAGCTAACCTAAAAGTTAGCTTCGATAACCGCTAATCCGCTAACTGAAAAGTTAGCTTCGATAACGCTAAACCGATAAATTACCAAAAAATGTAGCGAGTGCTTGCTCGAGGTCGAAGAGGTCACGGTGCTTGCTCGCGGTCAAGAGGTCACGGTGCTTGCTCAAGGTCAAGAGGTCACGGTGCTTGCTCAAGGTCAAGAGGTCACGGTGCTTGCTCGAGGTCAAGAGGTCACGGTACTTGCTCGAGGTCAAGAGGTCACGGTGCTTGCTTAATAGCGAAAAAAAAATATTTTTGAGGATTTTACTTGGTCTTGTTATATCGCTTTTACGTGATTTTACTTAAAATTGTCACTCCAGCTCTGGAGATCACCTGCCTCAGAGTAAAGACAATAATATTCTTATTTGTTCACTAACTTGTTTTGAATCCTCCGAAATATTCCCAGTTCTTTCTTCCATTCCAAACATATACATTTTTATCATGTGGTATTTTCGCGATCGGTGACCAGGCAGTTCCGTTTGCGCCCTGACTGATGGTCCAAAATTCCAATAAAGGTCCAAAATTCCATTTTCTCCCGAGGAGGATGATTTAGCGATGTCACTGGCGGACTTTGCCGCTGATCCTGAGAATCGGCAACGATTCGCCAATTTCCATCTGGCATTCTTGATGTCGATTCACCTATTCCATAAGGAATCAACTCTGACTATTACACTAACTGTGGAATGGTCGTGAGACACGAAGGAGATTTAGTCCCGCATTGACGGCGTTGAACCGTCAAAACTCAAACCGCTTCGCTCGGTAAGCCTTGTACTTTACCTATCTGATACTGAACTCTCTATTTCTATATAAGCCTTCGAGATGCGTTCCCTCCATTGCATCGCCATTGCATGTTGACGAGCTGAATTTATATGCTGGAATACTGCGTTCCGTGCGTGGCTTGGCTCAATGGAAAGCCGAGGAATGAGCCAGCTTTTGATCCATCAAATGTCTATGTTACATGCACGGTGACGAGATTTCTTTATTTTTTTCATTCTTGTCCAAAAATCATTTTTTATTAATCTTCTAATTTTCTTCATACGAGTTTTGAGCCAGGAATACACCCGAAATTCTTGCCCACTGTTCTTTGTAAATTTTGTCAATTTATTCTCCATGTTGGGAAGTCAACTTCGCTGCCACTTCTAAAGTTACCGACATTCCTATCTTCAGGCTGTCTGCTTGTCACGCCTGACACATAATCGATAATTTCGGTGTCTTTTGTGCTCATGTCGAGTGGCATATTTTGAGTTTACGACGTAATGATGACGTCATGCGGTGTTCATCACAAAAGTGTGTCAAGTCGTAGTTCTGAATTTACGACTCAATTATGTCATCCCACGATTGTCACTGGCTTGTCGCTCATGCCTACCCTCACTTCAGGACCCAATCACAGAGAAGCGAGTCGTAATTCGGCTCTCAGACACGTCGTAAAGCCGCCTATTTACGACCAAGATCATGGCAGCGCATGGCCGGCAACAGCTCCCTCTAACCCCAATTAAGCGCCTCCTTGAATTTTCTGCCCAGGAATTCATTGCCGGTTAATGCTTCTATTTCTATTATAATTGAACTATATATTGCGCTTTTTTCTTGATCATTCGGCAGATGAATTTATCCTAAATTTCTCAACGTATCTCAGCTATATTTGAATTTTTTCTTATTTATCATTTTGTCACCATCACCGTTGAAAAATAACATTATCACAACCCTGCAGTTCGTTCAATTTTCGTGCTCCTCGTTAATTATTGGTTCACTTATTCAATTTTCATCTTGAATTTTGAATTTATACACTTGTATCCTATCATAATATTTTGAAATATTTTTTTCATGATTTATAAATTCTGATCCCCAAATCTGGTTTTAAGCATCGTGAAAGTTTTTTTTTATTAAGCCAGAGATGTTTAATTGTTCATTTCTGATTGTTATTTTAATTAGTAAAAGTGCGTTTCATTCTTCAATCGTGAAAAATTCTCCGAAACATAGTTTAACTTTTATGTTCTGTTGTACGAAGGGAGTGATGTCTTCAAAGCTGCATGTTTATTTTTATTTGGTATTTCCTTCCAATTGTCATCACCAGTAAAAATTAATTTATGCTAAAATATTCACGATTTTATTTTCGGTTTGCCGTTTCTATGTTTTTGCATGAATGAATATATATAGTTTGAAGGAAATAAATTATTAGTTAAGCCAAGTCACATACCGTTCAGTATACTCAAAGAAAGGCAGGGATTCAGGCCAACTCAAAGGCCGTTCACAATACCTGAATAACGATAAGCTCCACCACTTGATGAATGCCACCTGCCACCCGAGGCCAGCTGTGCGTCTCGAGATGAATAACTCGGGCACGAAGCCTGCCACTCTTGCCACCAGCCACTGAAGCTTTATTCATTTCTTGCCCATCGTGACGCTGAGTAATATTTCACGAGAATTATTGTTCGCACTTCAGTTGTTCTGGCAGCTTTATAAACGTATATTTACTACAGTAAAGGAATGCATTGAGATATGCGTACTTCTTCCGTGACCCTAAAGGCTTTCATGTCGTTACAGAGAATTTGTTAATTGACCTGCATCTGGAAATATTAAGTTAGACGTGAAAAAACTTAACTTGGTATTGCGTGTATGAACTGGAAAGATTATCCTTTGACATTGTCAACACAAAGTCGCAGGTGTTGGAAAAGCCGATTGCTACAAGGTTTCTCTAGACAATTGTAAATCTACTGATGTGAAAGACTTAAAGCGGGATTGCGTGTCCGATCTCATATTTTTATTGTTAGACATTTTTGATACAATGGCTTTGTGTTGAAGACGCGAATTATTTCACGATTTCTGTGAATTAGTTGGTATCAAGTGCTCAACTGTCAAATACATCATTGTTGTTTAAATTGAACTTATTATAGATGTTTTCTATCAGAGCTGTCAAACGAGAAGGGCACATGTAGTGCATTTTTTGAGGCTCTCATGATAGTTTTTTACCAAGATATATTTAGAATCTAAATAAATGTATATATTATTGCAAATCACACTATGTTCCTAAGTATTAAAGTGAGTTAATCTCGTTCAATTGAAGAGTTTACTGAACCTGCATCTTTTTTCAGTGAATATATACGTTATTTTGAGTCGTTTCTCGTATAAGATATATATAAGTGTTCGTTGCCAGTCGAACCAGTAGTCAAATAATTTATTTATATTATTTTGACCTGAACACTGTAGAAATATTGCTAAGTAAATCTTACGTTACCCGCTGATTTATATGCTTAGCGAATGCAGGAATTCGCCTGCTCGGTGCTAGCTGCTAGCCAAGAGTATTGAGGCTGAAAACTTTACTGGGGGTTTTTGAAGTTACGATTCAAACGATACGCAAAAAGAGGACTAATTGTATTTTTAAATTTTGATTATGCTGAACTAGACAAGATTATGTATAGGATCTTTCTTTGTTTAGGCCGACCGTGTTCCTTTAACGAAGAAAAGTGCGCTGGAATTTCAAACCTTTCTCCATAGAGCGCGCACGTGTGCCAGTGGAGATTGCAATGGTCGATTTTCTGGTGCTAAATTTTTTACAGCCTAAACAAGATTTACAACCGGAGCATCGATGGCAACCTTATCCAGCCTGCAAAGCGTTCCGTGACAATTCTGTGACCAGAAAATTTCAGCTCATATATAGCGGTGTAAACATGATACCAGTATGCCGCTGTCTGGTGTGCAAGAAGTGCAGGTGGAAATTTCGCCAAATTATCAGCGAACAATTTTGCATGCTTCTTTGATTCTTCATCGAGCTTTGCTCCTACTATCTTTTTGTCCGAATTCATTAAAGTGTTTGTCGCAAAAATTAAAGGATTTCCTTCGGTGTTCTTATATCTGTGCGTTTTCCTTAGTCATACGAAAATATCTGAAAAAGTGCACGAATGATTCTTTTCTATTTTTTATTGACTCTTTGTTTTATTTTTTATATACGTTAATTTTAGAGGTGCTAAAAATTGAAATTGCAAAGGAAAAAGTCCAATTAAGTTAAAACAATTGAATTTTGAAAAGCCTTGCAGCCACGACTAAAAAAGCTGTTGAGTTACACATCCTTGTTTCCTTTCAAGTGAACCTAATAATGAATTGTCATAAATTTGTGTAGAATAATCACATCCTAAGTTTTAAAATAAAGTACACAAGAAAGTGGGCATAAAATGAGACGAAATTCGCCTAATGATATAACCTGGAGCTATGGTATCGAGATTGTTTTATCTCTAAATCTGGTAAAAATTTCATTTGCTTACATGCAGGGCAAAAATATATCCTATGTTCTTTGTGCTAACTGCTAACACTGGAGTCCCTCGCTTGCATAACAAGAATCAAATTACGCGAGTTAAGCAAATTTTTCGCAATTGAAAGACGGACTGATTGACAAGATAAAATTTTTACTGACAATTTTAAACACCGAAACGATTCTACCATATTTTGCTACGTTAGACATTCATTATCAATAGTTTTCGTGAAAATGATCATTTTTCATTCTCCATAATTACTTTGATATTGAAATTGTGCCTCAATTAATTGAGGAAAGCTCAAAATATGCGAGGAGTTATAGACAAAAGCCGCTCATCTTGGGCCTCTAGACAGGCAGCAGAGCGATGGCCTCGTAAATAACATACGCAGACTGTTTAATTCCCAACTTCTTGTGTTTTGCGGGGAAATTCAGGCGGGACTGTAATTATCCCGGCGCCCTCTACATTCTGGCGGATTTTTGCGCACAGATTTAAGATGGATTTCAGCCGACGGTTTTGTTGCGCAATTTTATCGATTGAAGAAAAGCCAATTGATGAAATGTGTCGGGGATCTGGCGTTCCACTCGAAATACCGCCGCTTTAATTTGCACTGCAACGAGTTTTCATTGTTAGTGTAAAATTTGTGTTGTTAATTATTACTGTTTGTTAATTTAGTCTCGAGTCTAACTACAGCTTCATTTGTTGTCATGTTCATTCTTCATTAACTCAGTAGAAGCTGATAAACCCGGGCGTCTTGACGCGAAATTTTATTCCTAATCCCTACTCACTCCTAAATTCACTCCTAATCCTGGTGTCCTAAATTCACTGGCTGCTGTGAACTAAGCTTACTAATTAGAGCGCGTCACTCTAATTGAGACTTCAAATTTACAAACTTCTCACAGTCAATAATTCAAGCGTTGGAGCCTTTACAACAAAATCACTTCACAATAAAAATAACGCTTGATGCCCCTCATCAGGTGACACTTGATTATGTAAATTACGATGATGTCTGATCCTCAGAGGAGAAGATACAATATGAAGATAGTATCCTTGATACCGAGGGAGGCTTCAAACAAAAGTACAGCGTACCCGGCATAATTGCTCGTAATGCAGTAGATCAGGTACACGAAGTGGCCGGGAGTGTTGGGTGTCTGTGGTGTTGAAATTACGTGCGCTCTTGCAGCACACGGGCTAGTGCAAGTCACTGAGTTACACCGCCTAATGTAAGAAAATGTTTGATATGGAGTATACGAAAGTTTGTGGAGATTCTATAAAACGTCGCGTTTAGGGAGAAAGTTTAATTGCTTTTAGACCTGATAGTATAGATCAAGGATAAGAACCCACGGGTGAACCTGCTTTTACATTGGTCGAGTATAATTAACGTACGAAAATTTTGTTAATTTTTCTCGTCAGCCGTTGGACCGTGACGCACCAACGGGCTTGGCGCGCTGGCGTCTGACGGTCACGGCCACGGACGGGCAGTACACGGCCTCCACTGACGTACTCGTCAACCTCAAAGACGTCAACGACAACGCACCCGTCTTCCCGCATGACGTCATCGACGCACACGTCTTGGAAAACTCGATGTCAGGTGATAACTTTTTTAATTAATAATCACGAGGTTGTCATTCGTTTTTTATTGATGAAACTTTTCAATATCAAAAACTTAAACCTGAATGAAAAATATTTTGCTTTTTAATGAAAAAAATTGATTTTATAATTTCAAGGTGATGCACGACAAACCTGCTTGTCTTAATATGTTAAAAAGTATTCGAACTTCTACGCCCCGAACAATCAGATCCGTATCACGGCAAATAATCCCTTATAATATTTCGGCACGCGCCTGATTTTGAAATTTTAATTGAAAATATTATCGTTTTTCCGTGTTATTTGATTCTAAAAGACGGATTTTCCTCGTCATAAAGTTGGAAGCTCCGCTCCGTTATCGTGAACAAGCCAAGTTTCACGCTCGACAAGTTTATGCGACTTTTATCGATGTTAGGAAAAGTTCGCGGCTTTTTAACGGCAGTGGCTTCGATATCGCATGTCGCAATTTACTTATTTTATGCTCTTTTGGCACTTTACAGTAAAATTTCAAAGTTTTCTATTCTCAATTAAACCGTGGATGTAACTGGAAGATAATTAAACAACTTAGGTCGCTCAAGTTTTTGAAAATATTGCAGGTTTAATGAGTCTGATATAATTACAGAAAAATTCAGTATTCGTTTCCCGAAAGTTTACATTTTACAATTAAGTTAAAAAACTTACAAGGAAACAAGAAACCGCAACATTGGAAATATTCTCTCGGCTTGCTGCAAACTGTCCTGAAACTCTAGGAGATTTCTTTGGTCGATGTGTCTGAGTTCAGGGACAGCTTCTATACTTGCCAGGACCACCAAACTTCTTACGCAAGCTCCTGTTGGCACAGTTTTGCAGTGCGCATGTGGAATAATATTAGCACAACGATATTTGAAAAGTAGCAACACGACTTTCAGACTAAACTTCACATCTCAAGCGTGAAATTGTTTTCTTAGTGATAACGATCTAAATATTCACATAAAATCTGTTGAAATATTTCATATTCAGATTTTGGACAATTTAGATGCCTGTATCATTGTTTACTTAGTGAATATTATTTCATTCAACTTATCTTCAGAGGTAAGCAATCTGATTAATGTTAAATTCAGTGTCTCACATTCGAAGAAAAGATTTAAAAGTGGCGAAAATTATACACAACAAATTTCCAGTTGAATTAGTTGTGAATGTATTTAATTTAATATTTTTAATAATATTTACCGTTATCTAGTTCGCATATAGAAACGATATGACGAAATCGCCGTTCTAGAGTCGCAATAAGAACAGCTCTCAAATAATAGTTAGTCGAAGGCGGTCACAAAAGCACGCTGAGGGCGAGAGGAAGAAGTTCATGAATTCATTGTCGTGGCAACCTAGCGCGTTCAATCTTTTACTTAGCGGGATGACTTGACAAAGTTTTACGTTATGTGTTTGAACACCATAGGGTTGTAAAGAGACTTTGTAATCGACCAGGATTAAAAATATATTTTGTATTCGAGATACCCGGATTAAAGAGAGACTTTGTATTCGAGATACCAGTATTAAAGAGAGACTTTATGTTCGAGACACCAGGATTAAAGAGAGACTTTGTATTCGAGATATCAGGATTAAAAAGTGACTTTGTAATCGAGATGCCAGGTTTAAAGAGAGACTTTGTATTCGAGATCTATACCCTCGCTCTTGATGATTAAGGAATTATATTGATATCAAGTTAATTTTCGTTGATGTTGGAAGTTTCCCAAGTTTCACTACTCTGGAAATCGATACTGCATGATTCTTTTACAAAGTTTGACCTGCAACTTTGGTCAATTAACGTATTTTCGTAATTGGCGTATCCCAAAATTATAATCTGTCGGTCGTGTCAATATATAATAGACGCGACCACCGAGCTAGCCCAGACAAGACACAAAAAGTATGTGAAAGATAAGGAGACATCCTACGCTGTGTCAGGCCCGTTAGACCAACTCTCGTCTTACACCTGCGATTACCAAGCGTCCTGCGATTCATGAGGTATACGCTGAACGGCGGCAGCATCTTACTTTTTTCGTGTCTTCGAATTCTGACGCCTGATCAGGTTTTCCATTACCCTAAATCTAAACATACATGCGATTGATAAATTTATCTTTCATGTTTTTTCAGCTTATCAATTGTCTGAAATTCTTCATGGGGTAATTTAGTTTTTTTCTCAAGGAACGACCGTGGCGGTAGTGACTGCGCACGACGCAGACGACCCGCATGAAGGCGACAACGCCCGCCTGTCGTATTCGCTGCTGAAGAACGTCATTGATGAACGCTCCCGCCTGCCTATGTTCACAGTTGACAGGCAGACGGGGGCTCTGCGTACGGCCGTCTGCTGTCTAGACAGGGAGCACACGTCATCTTACGGGCTTGTGCTTGCTGCTACTGACGGAGGAGGTCTTCAAGGTTCATTCTCCACAAATGTTATTCTTTTAATGCGATATGTAACAAACTTTATAGACACTTAGACCTCTTGTCTGTGTCCCTGTAGCCTTTCATATCCTCCGCTCCATCTTAGATGCCAACCTTGTTCTTCACATTCAGCTTCCTGCCACTGGCCATCTGAAGCCTCCCGCTTCAAGTGAGCGATGAATATTTTTCTATTTAATGAAAAACGTTACTTAATAATAATGATGATCGACGCCTCCGACCTTGTCTTTGAGGAATATACTGGGACTTACGATGCGAGATAGCTTCTTTGCTAGGTTCTATTAATGATTTTTCATAATGGAATTGTTTGAAGTGCCTTTTTATTATATTTTTTACATCCAGAAGTTCTATGCCCAAGCAACTAAAGTTTTATATTTTAAAATTAAATTTAAACTCGACATTCTGCTGCAAAATCTGCCTGTTTTTTAGTCGTGACTCTGAAAGTTTCTTATTTTGACGGTTAGCTTCAGGCGCCGTTTAAAATAATCCAGAAGAAGTAACTCCGCGCGTCCGCTCCTCAAAAGCCGCTTGCTCAACTCTTATGAACTTTCCCCGCGCTGCTCACCGAAGTTTATATCGAGTCTTGTAATATCTTTCTGTAGGATAACCGGATTATTAGCAAGCTATTCTTGTGAGCACCCAAGGCTAGAATCACGATCATAGCAGCTCTGTTAAATGCGCTGGAAATTTTACGAATTTTCTTCCCGAGAATCATGGATAATTTTTTAACATTAAAAAATTGAAATTAGGAACAGTCGTCATCTCTGAAAAATCTCTAAACTATTTAATCCTTCATATTCCCTGGATTTTTTGAGTGATTTCTCAAACTTTTCTTCATTAGCCAGTTTAAATTCAGTTCTTAACTTGTGCTCCATACTTATCTGGAAAAAAATCGGTTTATCTTTGATTTTGTATTTGCCGAAATATTCAATAATGTCTGATGCTTATATTATTCTCAAGATCCACTGTACGAATCAATGCTGCGTCCATTGTATTTCTCATTGGTAATGCTGTGATAATTTGTCACGTGTATCTATTTTGGATTTTCTGTTTTTCTGATCTTTTTTTTTTTGCGTCATTTCATCACAATATTTCTTATATATGCGGTATTCCCGCGGGTTTGAAGCGCGCAATCCCACAATGTTTTGACGCTCGTCTTGGCACCGGGCGGGAAGATGTCTGCTGGACTGACACGAGCTGCTGGGCTTCCATTTTTTGCTGGAAGAAAGAAAAGAGAAGAAGATCAGCATTTGTATGCTAAATACATCCAATGAGCTGTGGTGCCTTCACCAGATGAAGAGATTTTACGGGTGATAATATATATACATATTTTTACATGAATTGCTGTTGGTGTCTCGAAATGAATACGCAATATTTTTTTTTTCTTAATTGAGAAACATTGAGGAGGTATTAATTACTTATTCTAAATACCACATGATGGCTCACTCTCTGAATTCATCGCAGTCAATAATATATCGGACGCAAATGTAACACTGTTCATATTATTTTCTCTATTTACTATAGAAGGAAATTTTATTATTGCCGAACCAATATTGACAAACGTTTATTACCGTTCATATAATAAATATGAACAATAAAGGGACAAAAGTATATTACCGGTCACATAATTTTCTGTTTTTACTATAGAAGGAAAATTCATTAATACCGAACCAATGTTGACATTAATATAGTTTTTTTCACGCTACCATTTCTCCAAGCGTCATTCATAGGTTATTTCCCTGTTTCCCTGCACTGCTTCACTTCCTTATGATGGTTCGATGAGATTATTAGTAATCTGTTAAAATTAATCCTAAGTTTCTTCTGATATTTGGGATGTTTTCCCAGTTAAGAAGTAGAACAAATAAAATTTTGTTGTTTACAGCCAGATGCAAGAAATAAATTCATATAAATTCCTTCATTCGTTTTGCTCAAGTACGCCAAAAATGTCCACCATGTCCAAAAATGCAATTAATTTTTTCCTGGCATTGCTGTTGTCGCCTGTCCGTCGTCGCTGCTGACCGGCCAGCTTAATAATTTGTAAGGAATTTGTGCGAGATTGTGATGCAGCTTTTCTCGAGGAAAAATTCTGCCTTTAAATCAGTCGGCTTCCCGAGTGAAGAGTTCAACCCATTACTTCTTTCCGAATGAAGGGTTCAACCCATTACTTCTTTCCGAGTGCGGAGTTCAACCCATTACTTCTTTCCGAGTGAAGGGTTCAACTCATTACTTCTTTCCGAGTGAAGAGTTCAACCCATTACTTCTTTCCGAGTGAAGAACTCATTACTTCTTTCCGAGTGAAAGGTTCAGCCCATTACTCCTTTCCGAGTGAAGAGTTCAACCCATTACTTCTTTCCGAGTGAAGAGTTCAACCCATTACTTCTTTCCGAGTGAAGGGTTCCGCCCATTACTTCTTTCCGATTGAAGAGTTCAACTCCTTACTTCATTAATTTTGATACCACTACCTCCATCCGTATTCTAATCGTTGATCCGTTTAATCAGCTCATTTTGAGCATTTGATTATTTCTTAACAAAGGACGTAAATTTTCCTAATTGTATGCTTAACAATGGAAACTTTCCTATGTTCTGGCTTTTTTCGCAAGTTTGTTGGTTGATAAGTTGAGATATTTTTCGGATCATTATCTGTAATTATGCGCATGATTCGCTTGATGGTGACCGACTCTACTTAGAAGATTTTTTAATTTAATTCAATTCAAATTGTGCATTTATATTTTATATTAATGATAATTTTTCCTAGAAATATCCAGCGTACTAGCTGGCAGCAACAGGCCTCCCATGCCTCGCTCATCGTCTTCAGAATAACGATGGTGCGCTAAATAACAGTAGCTTTTCTCTGAAGCGTTTTTTACTATATTGCGAGCGGTGCGTGTGAATTTAGTTCCTTTATGACCGCAGCAACTTGGGTTTTGTTGACATTTGCTCTGACAAAGACTTGTTTTTCACGCAGTGTCTTGGGCGAAGAGCAAAGCTCTCTTTAACATAGCGCCTCGCACTAACGAAACGCCAGTTAAAATTTCACTTGCGACCATAAAATCGTGTTGCCCCGTAAAGCCTAAACTTCCAGTTTATTCTAAAAAAGTCTGCAGATGGGAGTACAAGTGTCCATTTTTGACATTTCTTTCCTACACATGATCCCAAATAAAACATGTTAGGATTCCCAGTAGTTTTTAACTGACTACAATTAAATCACATTAATTTTATTAAAGATTAACTTTAACTATACATTTGATTATCCCCTAAAACACTAAGTTAGCATACAATGTGATTTAATTATCGTAGAACATCGCTAAGGAATAGAAAATCATTACGTTGCTGTTTGTTCAGGTACTTGCACCGTTACCGTAAACATCGACGACGTCAACGACGTTCCTCCTTCCTTCGTGCGATCGCACGTCGATGTCTTGGTCCCCGAACATCGTCAACCATCTTTCCAGCGTTCTTCGTCCCATGGAGCATCGTCATCCATTGGTGTATCGTCTTCACAAGACGTTTCTTCGACCGACGGAGTTCCTTCGTCTATCGAAGTCACGTTGCCCAAGGAAGCACTATCATCCAGCGCAGTGTTGTCTTCCAACAGAGAATTTCCCTCCCGCGGCCTTCCATCGTCCAAATCTCGCAGCAACGCCTCTGAAAATTTCATCTCGACTCTCGTGGTGACGGATCCTGATACAAGCAACGTGTTCGCATACCGGGTAATTGATGGTTCCTTTCATAGTCAGCACGGTGAGCCCTTTTAGTTCATAGAGACATATTTATTTAAAAGCATTAGGGCAGTGAAGGAAGTATTGTAGTAAGGTACCAATGTACGACAAGTATCTGACTCGCCCTTGAATTATTTTCATTTTTTGCATATCATCAAATTAAGTGCCTCATTTATTGTATGTTCGGAAAAATCTTGGCATATTGGGACATTAATTTTTCAGCGATAAAGCAAGAAATTTATACGTCACTTAAACCATAAAGGCATAAGTTCGTAGTAGTTGATAATTAGCATGCTTAACAGCATGGTAATCTATGATTTCAGCTATTGATTTTTTTAGTTGAGGTTCTTGATTCGTATTGATGAAAGTACAGTCTCTTGTTAACACTTTCCTTCACCCCTACTCACATGATCAATGACTGTCCTGTAGTTAGAACTCATAGTCGTGCAGATGTTAAAATACATCACTCACGCGACAGGTGGTACCAGGGAGCGGTCACGGCTGGCAGCTGGTGGAAGTGGCAGCAAGCACAGCTGGTGCTGACCTGTTCTCTAGAGTGCCGCTGGATTTTGAGAACCCACAGCACAGAGCGGGACTCAACTTTAGAGTGCAGGTCACCGATCAGGTGCGTCGTCATGTGTCTGTTGGTCCCTCGTTGCGTTAATTAGGCGCATTACATGCATAAATTTGGTACGTGCGTGATACAAGCTTGTGTAAATTCTTTTGTGCAAAATAATTAATTATTGTTTTGAATAATTATGTGACTATCAGATGAATTCTTCCTTTTCTTAATTATGAATTATAAAAGCCTTCTTCATCATCGGAAAGTATATTTCATTGATCAGTCAATTAGATTTTACCTTGATTTTTTTAGGTATTGTTGCAAATAAATACTTTACTACGATGATAAATTAAACTCGATAAAGGAATTTGATATTTGTAAAATTGTTTCTGCCTACACTAAATGATTCGTCCTATTTGGATCATGTAATAGTTGAGATTTTCATAAATCATTGAGCTATAGTGAGTGACCATTTAACCTAATGATTTTGATGCTAAGAATTTACTGATTATATAAGAAGTGTCATGCATTCATCACCTGGAAACGGATGCCCTTGTAAAACCTCTAAACCCTTAATTGAGTCAATGTGATTAGATTAGAAACAGATCCCTAAACTTATTTTAAGTCAAATATTTTATTCAAAATTGGGGCATTTTTTTGTGATTCTAGGAATATCGAGAGGTTTTCTCAGGGATCAGACACACATTTGAAAACAATCTCAAAGCCTCCGTAGACTTTTGACTTCACTTGTTTCGGCCATTGTCGATATCGTTTTCCTATTGGGGCTTCCATGTGGTGTTCAACATCGGACCATCAGACGGATCGCACCTTGTCGGAGTTGGGAATTTTCCTTCACACGCCATGCACTCTCTTCAGAAACTCCGTTACTAGATTTATGTTTGACCAAGAGTAATTGAAAGATTTATCGCAATTCGAAATATTTTTTGAACATAGTATGACGACAAAACAAGCGTGAAGATGTATAAATTATTTGTCTAAATTCCGTTTATATCGTTATATCACGTTGGCTATTTCAGTTCAAAATAGCGCTGGTTACTTAGTGTTTACGTGGATTGTACAAGATTTAGAATTTCGAAATGTATTCATTTGCATGAGATCCGTCAACTGGCGGTTCCCTCGTCTGTTACACGTCTCTACGGATATGTTAATGATTGTCTCTAATGCTATTCATATATAAAGATCTGATAATGGAAATTTATGAGCGTTGAGATACAAAGGTTAAGCTGTTGGAGGTTCGTAACTATGACTCTCTTTCGCTTTATCAACCGTGACTCTCTGGCTCTCTGGCACCCGTGACTCAAGGGCGTGACTCTCTCTGACACCCGTGACTTGCTTCCTCTCTGGCACCCGTGTTTCTATTTCTCTCTCTGGCACCCGTAACTCTCTCTCTCTCTCTCTGGCACCCGTGACCCTCTGGCACCCGTGACTGTAGGGCGACATGCCGTGGTGCTCGCACCCCCGCGTGTCGGAATGCTCTGTCACGGTCACCGTCCAGGCTGACACCCGTGACTCTCGCTCTCTCTGGCACCCGTGACTGTAGGGCGACCTGCCGTGGAGCTCGCACCCCCGCGTGTCGGAATGCTCTGTCACGGTCGCCGTCCAGGCTGACACCCGTGACTCTCTATCTCTCTGGCACCCGTGACTGTAGGGCGACATGCCGTGATGCTCGCACCCCCGCGTGTCGGAATGCTCCGTCATGGTCTCCGCCCAGGCTGACACCCGTGACTCTCTCTCTCTGGCCCCCGTGACTGTAGGGCGACATGCCGTGGAGCTCGCACCCCCGCGTGTCGGAATGCTCTGTCACGGTCACCGTCCAGGACCTGAACGACAACCGTCCAGCGTTCAGCACCGCGTCAGTTGAGCAGAGCGTGGCGCTGCCTGAGGACCTGCCGTTGCTCTCCTTCGTCGCCTCCTTCAGCGCGTCTGACCTCGACACCGTCAGTAGCGCTAACATCATCATCAACTACCATCCTTTGTTATGGAGATATCCTGCTGTTTATCATGAGGCTATACTTCTGTCCATTCAGTAATTCATTTCAATCTGTTGTCAATTATGCCAGGTTTGTCCCTTCACTAAGCTGCCGTGCTGTAGCTTAGTAAACTCCTCTTCTAATTTTGATATAAATTGACGTGCTAGTTTGGTCAGGGGGCGAGCGGGCTGGTGACGTACGGCATATCCGCGGAGAGCGACCCAGGGGGCGTGTTTAGGGTGAGCGACGGAGGGAGCGTCACCCTGAACAGGGGACTGGACAGGGAGAGCCGCCCCCTACACCTGCTCAGTGTGCTTGCCTGGGACAGCGGCAGCCCTCCACTCACGGCCACCGCCACCCTCACGGTAACGACGATTCGCTGGTCACGGTAACGATGGTTCGGTGGTCACGGTAACGATGGTTCACTGGTCACGGTAACGATGGTTCGCTGTTCACGGTAACGATGGTTCGCTGGTCACAGTAACGATGGTTCGGTGGTCACGGTAACGATGGTTCGTTGGTCACGGTAACGAGGACTCGCTGGTCACGGTAACTATTGTCAGGTGACAATGTGGATACCATTCGTCCCTGGATGTTTCCTGATTGATGTCTTCCTTGTCTAAAGATAATCTCCTTCACATGCGATCTGTTCATAAGCATTTCATTGTATTAGCCTTTCCTGTTTATCAAGTCACGCCCTTGGTGACGTCAATTAGCGAAGCTATATGAGCTCTGCCCAGACCGGGAAACCTCAGTCTTGGGCCGAGAACGTCGTGTGTAAGCCCTTACTCCTGTCCGTATCCAATACGACAGTAACCCTAAATTAATGTCAGAGCAGAAGATACGCTCTAGACTTATCCATATTTCAACAGGATGCCGAAGACATCAGTGTTAAAGCTCCAACTTATAATGTGATTATCCTAAACTGTTAGCCGATTTATTCTCACTAAGTATAAGTATCTAATCTGTACTTAACTCGTACCAGACCAGACGTCCTCGTACTTAACTTAAGGCACCAGAACCTGCCTCAGGTTGTTAATAACTAATTAGATACGCCTAAAACGTGCATAGAAAAGGACGGCGTACATAAGCCATTAACATCGTACACTATGATTCGCTGGTGACGGTGACGAGGGCTCGCTAGTAACGGTAACGATGGTTTGGTGGTCGCGGTAACGATGGTTCGCTGGTCACGGTAACGATGTTTCGCTGGTCACGGTAACGATGGTTCGTTGGTCACGGTAACGACCCAGTTAAAAGTTAAGGCCGTGGCGCGGTTGTGTATCGGCGTGGAGGGCGATTATGAGCGCGCAACGGCAGATTGGCCGCTTCTCCCAAATCTCGGCGACATTGCGCTCGTCGGCGGGAGGCGATGGACGGGCCGCTTAGCGACCATCGGCGGTAATTTGCGCGAGACTTTAAGGTTGTTTACAAACCAGGGGCCGCCTGCTACTTACGACCATGTTTCGGCTGCTATATATAATAAGTTTGTGTACTTACATACATTAAAATACGATTTTTCAAGTGTACGAATATTTATTTCCCCCCACTGTATATAATCGATTCCTCAATCGAAAACGTACGTGCGTAAGTTGGTGTTCGAACCTAAACTTAAACTTTGACATCCACTCCTGTTGAACAAAAGATCGTTGATGATATCGTATACCGATGTTTACACAGAGCCATTGCATTTTTAAACATCTCAGAACACTGTCACTTTCTTGTTAAATGGAATACTTTTATCTGACAAAAAGAATGTGAGCTCAGTTCGTAATCAATTTAAATGATTTTAATACTTACAGTTCGACTAAATGCTCGTTCTGCGTTGATGTATGTACGTACATGCGTACGTTTGTCAAGGCATATGATGGAACGAAATGAGAATTGATTGTACCAATTTTTTAAGCTTACGTGTTGTAAGATAATAACTACATTAATTATAGGACAAAAATATCTGGATTTATTTGGCTATCTTCAAAAACCTCAGGGTGCTTGAAGCCATGGAAATATGATTAAGGGGTGCGAAAGCAGAAAAATACTTGATAAGTACGTGGCAGTAGAAAAGTAATGCTTGCAGCTACAAGAGATAAATTTCTAATTCATGTCATATAACACACATAACTAATACGTAAGCTGTTAATTGGCAGAAAAAGCAACAGATGAACTTTCGGTTATGCATTCAGGGCCTATAAGCATTTGATTAAATGTTCAGGTCGCTATGAGTTGGGATGAAACTGCTTGATATTGTGATTACAGTGCATTGCTTGATCACAGGCATTAAACAATGTACCTTCGGTTATTCAAATAAGGTCTAAAAAATTGTAATATTTTCAGGTGAGTTTCACAATTGTATCATATCGTGTTGCGGTTCAAATAATTACTTCAGTGAATTAAAATCGTTTTATTCAATGGCGGTTACTGGGCATGAGTGTCATACATAGCGTATATAACTCTGCTCAGTCATCTCACTACTTTTTGAACGAATTAAAAGAAGTATAGTCATTAGTTTAAATAACCTCGATGACAAAACCTGGTCAATGCTTTACGGTTCTTCTTCCTCATAGTTACTTTATCATGTTCACAGGGCAAAATTTGTTGCTAGCCTCTTCAAATGTTTAAATATTATTCCTGTTTAACGTGATGCAGCTTGAGGCAGTGAGTTGAGTTGTTTACACGACGTGACACGTTCGTTCGCGTTTGCCTTGCCGCTCCGCTGCTGCCCGCGGGCGGGACAGTCACCGGCGTTAGTTCGCTAGTTGTACTGGTGCAGATTACACGCAACGGCGAACGTTGCTCATTTCAATCTTGTAATAGTAGTGGGAAAAGTGAACTATTCGACTTGAAAATTATATTTTAAAAGCTGAACTTTACTAGAAATGTATTCGTTTTTCTGTACAATGGTTCTGCAAGTGGAGTTCATTGAGAAACGCTCCACCAGCATTACGGGAACCTAGAGTCGCCATAATGCCGGCATTCTACTTCGTTTAGAAGATTCCGGAACTGGCAATAATGGAAATTTTTAACTCGAGGTATATGCTGACATGATCATGTTATTTTAGCTGCTCGTGTCCATATACTTCAGGTTTTAATTTCTATCTCATCGAGAAAGTTGGATCCATGTGTGGAAATGCTAGATCACTTAAGTTCAACTGCATGGTTAGGCTTAGTCTTCACCAGTCAAGCGGTCACCATGTCGTCGCAAGAGAAACGCATACAAACACGGATTGAAATCCTATAGTCTCAAGTTCAACTCCGTAAGTAATCAAGTTACTGGTTCATTGTAATTATATGCTTGTTTTTCGTTGTATCGTTGGGTTTGGTACCAGAGTGAAATCGACGTAATGTGAATTTGGTGATTTTCGAAGAATTGCATATTATTAGAACATAAATTTCCGAACTTTCCATTGAATATGGCAATGTTAGGAACTAGGAAGGTCACAAGTTCCTACTAAAGTTTCGACGATAGCATTTGATCTATTATTCACAACCACTGTAGAAATAATTTTATAGACTCTTGCAAATCAGTTCGATAGACCAATTGGTACGGCTGAATGTGTTAGTCTGTTAGAATGTTTCGCACATGCATAATTAACTGCACGCTACCACTCATGTTTGAATGTTCCTCTTTGGCATCCAGTTCCCCTACTTGTCGCAATGTGCAGTCATCTTCAACACCGCTCCTGTCACCATTTGACACGTTCACAGTTTCACACTCCTGACAACTTGTTACTAGATGGTCAATTCTCGCCAAGTGTTGATTAGTCTCTCATTAAAATGAGACCTGAGAGTCTAGTTCAAATAAAACGTTGGCATAGCGGTTATCACTTCGATACTGTGACCTTTAAATGTTTTTTTCAATACATTTTTTCAGCTGCCAATCGTTTCATTGTATTCAAAACCTTACTTTTGTTTATGTTTTATGGAAATTAGTATTTGATCATTTTAATATGTCCTCGGCTGTATATCCCGAGATTCTTTGCTTGTACTGTCATGCTGGAAATGCATGCACGTTCACATGAATGTGTATGCATATCCAGTATGGTAGTGCAGAGGCAATAATCCTGGCGATATACCGCCGAGGTTTTTTTTAATAAATAGTTGGAGGCGGTCATGTAAGTTGCGCCGGAGTTTCATGCACGTTGCGACTATGATAGAGGCGCTGCCGCGCGCGGTCATTCTATGAAACGCGCCGCGGCCGCGTGCCGTTTAAGAGCGAACCGTCGCGCATAAAAAAATGGACGCCGATGATGCGGAGATGTTACACGGGCGCCCCAACCGAGCGTCTCTACCTTAATCTACCTAAACACGCCGGCGATATCACTTTGATTTTTGACTGGGGAGGGCTCGCTGATCACGGTAACGATGGTTCGTTGGTCACGGTAACGAGGGCTCGCTGGTCATGGTAACGATGGTTCGCTGGCACGGTAACGATGGTTCGCTAGTCACGGTAACGATGGTTCCCTGGTCACGGTAACGATAGTTCGCTGGTCACGGTAACGATGGTTCGCTGGTCACGGTAACGATGGTTCGGTGGTCACGGTAACGATGGTTCGCTGGTCACGGCAACGATGGTTCGCTGGTCACGGTAACGATGGTTCGCTGGTCACGGTAACGATGGTTCGGTGGTCACGGTAACGATGGTTCGCTAGTCAAGGTAACGATGGTTCGCTAGTCAAGGTAACGATGGTTCGCTGGTCACGGTAACGATAGTTCGCTGGTCACGGTAGCGATGGTTTGCTGGTCACGGTAACGCGTGTTGATACGTTGTAATCAATGTACTTAGTACTCAAGGGAGGCGGCTTCTTCTAATTGAAGGATCACGATTCCTTCTAGTTAAATGTTCACGTTAAATCCTATGTTGAAGATCCTTGGCAATTCTAATTGGAGGTTCATTGTATTTTATGGGTGAAGTTTGTCAATACATTTTATTTAGAAATTCAAGGTCCTTTTTGCAGATCAAAGAGACAGGTTTAACAGGTTTAATAAATAGCCGAACTAAAGATTTATCACATCCAGTTCACATAAAATTAGAGTCAACTCTAAACCTCTATTCTACTGTAATGCTCATCAACTTGAAATTCACACCTATCCGCACCTCAAATTAATTCAAATTATACCTAGAATCCTGACTGATTCCTAACTTAATTTCTCTTTTTCAATCCTATTTTAATTCATATCATTTATCCCTACTCGCATGTAAAATTATTTCATATAAACCTCGAATTATAACTTAAATTCATGTCCCACATTTAAACGCGCGGAGTTCCGGTGCCTCAGGTGAACGTCGAAGACGTGAACGACAACCCTCCCTTCCTTCTGGGGGGGTCCAGAGTACAGCTCCCCCCCATGGCAGGGGGCAGCGATGGTGGAGGGCTGGGGTTGCCTGCAGGGT